ACTGTTTTTGTGTCTGCTCGCTCCTTCTGAGTGCAGAGAGACACATGTACGGACCCCTGTTTGGTCACGCTAAGCACAGCAACCTACATTCGGTTTGTCGATTAAAATGAACGTAATCGATGAAATTCTTAATGATCAATTATCGATTAATTGATTAATCATGCCCATCCCTAACACAGAACTACTCGTGTGTTTAATTACTTCAGCTAAAACTGACTCCAGTTTAGTAACACTGGCTGGTTCATGATGCACAGTGTGATTTGGAATAGTCCTAATCCTCGTGAAAATGTTATTTGAATAAGCAAATATAATGGAATTTTGAATTGAAAACTACACACATTGCACTACATATACTTAAGCTAAATGTCATATACTTAAGCTTTTTAGTATGCAGAGATTTGTATATCCAATTGACATAGGCTCAGGCGTTTAGTTCAGGTTTAGGATGGGCCAAAAGAATAGACTCCCATAGAAAAGTTGTGACCTTCATAAGTATTTCTAATTGTCATTCTCTTCTCCACTCACTTTTATGAGCTACTTTTATGAGTGGAGATACAACAAAGTACTATGATACCTACAGTTCACTTTGGTACAGACAGAACTAATCAGATGCCCCACCCTCACATAAGCCTCCTCATTTACTCAAAGACAAAACTTGAGTTCAGAGTTATTGATTGATTTTTATAAATGGCGTAGTTTACATTGTCAGATAAATGATGTTGTAACTGTAGGCTGCACTGATACAATACTGGTGTCAGATACTGGGGCTAATATTGAAAAGTCTGGTGGATTGGATATCGGCCTCAAGATATCGGTTCATCACATTTTAGTCCATAAATTGGTGTAATAAAAGGTGGGAGATACATGGAAAAATAGTTAACATTTCAACTGATGTTTTGGAGATTTGCAAAACTAGAATATGCAGGATATTGTCTAATTCAAACCTTGAAAAAAGACTTAAAATGGTATGGAGATTTACACCCTTTTGTAGTTACCGTGAGTTAATGGTCCGATCATGTGTTGTGCTAAACTTGAACCTCAGCCATTTATATTTACAGGCACAATTTGAGATATTAACTTGGTCTATAACCCTACTTTCTAATAGCTTATCTGTGTAAAAGGTAGCCTGTTTCATCAGTTGGTTTCACTTCGTAGAAATAGTCTGACCTTGCAGCATTAGAATTTGTTCGCTCGACGGTAGGCAGGTACTTTTTTTATTTAACCAATCGCTGCTATTTGGTCGTGAGGTATGTAATGCGTCGCTAACAGGACTAACTATTATATTAAGCTTTTCCCAAATCCCATAGGAAGAAGTGCAATAACGTCTTTCCCCTTGATAAAATTCACAGAACATTCTCTTTGTTTCGGCTTTAAATCCTCAACCTCAGGAATCGCTGCCAACACAGAATGTATGGCTCTTCACTGATTGGACGGTGCCCAAACTCACACTTCCACATTTTTTTCAAACCATCTAGTGTATTTCAATTCCTGACCTAGTCACTGGAGAGAAATGAAATTAAGTGGAGGCACTAGGTGGCGCTAGCCTGGCTAGTTTAAAGGGTCTATGTTACAATATTTTCTGATCTCTGTGTGGGATGTTTCCTCATCAAAAACATACCTGAAGCTGTGTTTTATTTTTTTCACACAAGTTTAAGCGCACTCCCTCTTCCCTCTGTTCCACCTTGTGAAGTCACGAGGTAATACAGGAAGTGCTCCACTGTGATTAGAAACTCCATACATATCACTATAGGACTTCAGCCCTGGAATTTCCAATGTCTACTAAACAAAAGGTAAAAGGTAAATCTTAACTAGAAAACTACAACAACAGAGCATTGAGCTTTGGAGATGCAGACAGACTAATAGTAAAGGATTTCTCAAACATGTGTCAATAAAACAAAACAACTCTGAGTATGTTTGTGATGAAGTAACATTATAACAACAAGCTCACAAGTATACATTTTTCCATAATACAGGACCTACACAATCAGTGTCCATTCCTGTATCATTTTCTAGCCTGGCTGTTTTCTATCGGAAAGAAGTTATTTGAAGTCATGATTTCTGTTCAACTTTAGATCAAACTCAGTCGCTTCGGGTTATGACATGCACGGTCCTGCATGGTGTGGAGATCTTTATATATAGACCATAACGAGACCAGAATGTAGCTATTGAAAATACACACACACACACACACACACACACAGTGAAACCAGAGCAAAGGGCAAACCATGTATATAGTGTGTGGATATTTGCCTGAACACGCAGCAATCGCGGGCTTCAAGTGCTGACACAGAGAAACGTGGATGCTGAGAGAGGCTATAACAGCAAAGCATCATGGGAGAAACTGCGGGGGGGCATCAGTATGCAGTAGAGAGGCCGCGTGGTGCTTTTAAATGCTCACCACATCCCCGGCAAAAAAAAAAGCCAAGATTCATTTGAAACGTTATCAAACATCGCTGTATATCGAAAAAAGCGCTAGGTTGTGTGAGAAAAAAGCGAATGAAAGCGAACTCTCCGAAATCAGCGCTATCGAATCTCTTCTACCTTTACATTGCAGGAAGATCGATAAAACCAGCAAAGAGGCATTTCTTATATTATTTTTTTGTATTGTAGCAGGCAAGGCGCTACAAGGATGCTCCGCTGGGTTACATTCACAGGGCAGAAAAAGCACACGCAGCCAGCTCGCTACAGGAAAGCGTGGTGGGTCTCCTATCATTTTTGAATCGATAAAACATTACCGCAGTTCCTGGAAAAAATTGAATAATGGAGTAGGGATTTGTCATGGCAACGCGTCACATGTTCTCAGCAGGAAACGTAACTATAGGCAACCAAATGTTCCCCTGTAGAATGCTATGTTAACGCCGGGGAAATCAAAGAAGAAACAGCAACACTCTTTTGGGTAAAGCACGGAGTTGGCAGGTCTATAGAGGTGAACACTTTAAGATAACTATTGTGTGGCTTGTCTATTTTTTTTTTTTTTTCAAGCAGATTAATGAACATAAGCAATATAAATGTATCCAGTACACTTAAAGGTACATTGTTCACCTTTCTATCTTCATCGAGACCAAACCAGACCAAGTAACAAGTCAGATCTGTGGAGAGGCAGTTCTGCTTACAGGCAGAATGTCTGTTTTTCTGGAGATTTTTGAGCTATAAAATCACCTGTAATTGAATAAATGTAAGGTAGAGCTGTTAAATGTCATACTGTGGGACATTCCAGGCAGAGCAATGTCTTGAAAGAATAAAACTCTCACCTCTGTGCAGTCATAATGGTTTTGCACAATTAGAAATCTGTTGCACATTTGATGCAAAGTTGAGGAAAGCGGTAGTAGCAAAATTAATCTTTTTCAAAATTATACTTTGAGTGTTTTGTAAGACTGTAAAATAGTCATTTTAAATATTCAAATGCAGAAAATAATAAGCTTTAGAAACACAAATAAGGACGAAAACAAGTTGTTGCTGGTTGTTACATCACAGTCTAACTAGGTTAGAGCATTTTTTGGTGGTGTAGCTGACACACGCTGGTTGCTGGTTTTAAGCACAATTTAAATTCCAGCAAATGTCCTTAAAGGTGCACTCTGTAACTTTTCTGATGGAGGTTTGATATCTGAAGTCTTCACAGAGGAATATGTAACATCTCCATAGAGATAAGAGTATATGAGGAACCCTGAACTGGAAAAGTTACACAGTGCACATTTAAGCTGTATAAGTCACTTCACAGACATTTAAGTAGTTCAGGTTTCTACCACTGTGCATGTTGGAGCACAAATGGACACTCCTGTATCCCAAGAACACTCAAACCTGTTGTGTACAAACACATGCAAACTTAACAGCAGTAGTGGCAGCCTTCTGACCAGCACCAAGAGAGCGCAAGTTTGCAAATTTAAAAATGTTTTGATTCAGTTTAATTAAAAGCTTAATGAAGGGCTGGACTATGACAAAAAAAAAAAATGAATTGCAATTTTTTCCATGTAGGGTATTAACCAATCTTGATTTTTGATTCTTTTTTTATTTGGTAAAAACCAAACTTCCTGAAGATAAACAAGACTGACTTTTAATCAGTGCCATTAAATACAAAAACAGTGAAATTTCTTCCTCCTCCAAAGAATGAACTCCACACTGAGCTCCACACCACATGCCTTTACCGACAGAGAATTGGCTATAGACCTCTCCATTAAAAAGCATATTATTAAACTCAATTATAATGTGATTAACTGCACATGCATAGTTAAACCCATTAGCATTTTACCTAGCTTGTGTTTTTATTCAGAACATGTTGCTGGGTTTTCCTTTGGATTAACAATGAATCCTTCTATTCGTTTCACAGATAGTGCACCATTAAAGGTCCCATATTACACAAAACTGGCTCTTGAGCGCTTTAAGCCATGTTATAATATTCACACATGTATGACTATCCATTATTATTAGTCTACATCTCCAAAGCTCAAAATGCTCTATTCCACCTTGTGATGTCATATAGCGGTAGTTTTCATGTTAACAGCTATCTTTTATGTTTAGTTCAGTAAAGTTTGCAAATTCCAAGGTTGAATTTAGAGAGATGAGAGAAAAACTCAACTTGAATATGCAGACTTTGTGTATTAAAAGTGCGAAAACAAAACTCGAGGTATGTTTCTGATGAGGAAACATTATAACAGATGAGAAAAGAGTAATATGGGCCCTTTAAAACATATGAAAACTGAAAATACCTTGAGTCTGATTTCTTGTTTTCATAGACAGGCTGTAGTCGAACCACTGTTGACCATTTCCTGTGAGAAATGCCTGCGAGAGAAACTATAATGTTGTGTATCTGGTGAATAAGATGAAAGCGTGTGTGATTCTGCTGTGTGCGCTGACAGCTCTCCGGCCCTTATAAACCAGTGGGCAGGCTCAGCACTCGCTCTCAGTAATGGCCGGTATGCTGTGTTTGGTAATACATCTGCACTGTCCATTTTAACACCTCCGACTGCGGTGTGAAGAAAGGATTTGACGTTTTGTGAACTCACCTGAAGAACGTGACGAAGAACTGCACCAGGTCCATGAAATTACTGTGCTGGGAGAAGGCAATCTGCAGAGACAAACAAGCAAAGAGAGGCTGAGTGAGAGAGAGTGGTGCATTGTAATAGGCACAGACTTAAAAGGTGCATATGACAGGTTAGACTACTCATGTGACTAAAACATTAAAATCATTATGCCCACGTTATGCAGAGATTCATAGATACAAAACTCGTCAAATTCATAATTCTCATGTTCCAAAATGTGTCACATCAAGAGCTCAGTTTTGCCTACGATACAGACGCTGTAAATTCTGGAGCCAGTTTTCACATCTGGTTAGTGACGGCAGATCAGAGGCGCCGTTTAAAAAGAGTCTGAGGAAATGTTTGATATTTCGTGCTAATGTTTGATAATCTTTCAATTGTGGATGTTTCGTTGTGTTTTAATCTATGTTTGAATCAAAAGAATTTAATCCATGATGTTTAAATGTCATTTTTTCTATATATATATATTTTTTATGTATTCATACGGTGGAGGCTTTAATATAAGCCCTATTGGGTTTTTTGACTCTTCCGGCACCTACTTTTTATCTAGTGTGGTTCTTTTATTGTCATGTTATATGTGCAAAATAAATAAATAAAATACATAAATAATGCTGTTATCAATGCTTCTGTGAGTTGTGTTTTGTTTCATTCATACATGTTTAACGCACAAACCATATTCATATTTAGGCCGAGTTCTTCTCTCAAACAGAAAAACACTCAGTTCCAACTTGTGATGTCATGTGGTAATATAGGAAGTGCTCCACTGTGTTTTTAAACTCCAAACACCTTCTATAGAATCACATGCATTCTATTATTTTGCTAAATCAGTGTTAAATGTCAGAAAAACATGCATTGTAGATGGAATTTTCTAAAACAGGTAGAGATATTCCATTTTACAACTCACCACTACTTTCTGTATTTTTGTAGTTAAAGGTGCCACCAGGATTTTTCACAGTATAACATTAAATTTATCTATTTCCATCAAGTCAAGTATCAAGCCAACTAAATTTTGTGTGCTCATATTTTTAGTTGTAAATAAATAAAAAACACCTAATAATTTAAATAATAAGCACGTTGTTTGATGTCATACTTTGGCACATTCCAGGGAAAGCGATCTCCCTCTTATATCTCTATGGAAACAACCAGGTGCTGAACTTGTACCAGAAAGGTTACATAGAGCACCTTTACATTTTTCCCACAAACTTACATTTGACCATTGTAAAACTATATTTACCACAGATTTAAAAAAAAAATAAAATCTGTCATATGCACTTTAATTAGAAGGGTCAGTGTTCTAATGTAGGCCCCACATTCGAATGACCTTCTACGTTTGACGGTGAATATAATGAGCAGCGGATAATGAGCAGAGGAACAATGTACAGTATAAATGTACAAGATATATGAATGTATTTATAGAGTGTGGTTTGTGCTTCACTTGGCATTTCTGGACATTGTGCAGTGTGACACAAAGTAAATTGGACTCTTGGCTATTATTCTATGAGCAGATCGTGTGGTATTGATACTTTGCAGTGACATCAGGTCGGGGGTGTTCTATGTGTATTTCTATGGCGGAATGTTTCTGTAGTTACATGGTGACGTAATGCACACATAGGCAAACAGTTTAAAAAAAAAAAAGAAGATTTAAGATTAGTGAAAAAATAGGCTACAAAATGAATTGAAACGACACATTTTCTGCTGCCTGTGATCAATACGAGATGAGTGTTCATTGTGCTGATTGGGTGTTTGATTAACTAACTGACAAACTGTTGGCCAAGACCAGCTAGTTTCTTACTGTAATGTTATTTAAGAGGGACTTGTTTAACAGCACAAATCAGCACATTATCACAACATCAGTTCTTTATGGTCAGATTATGTTAAAACAAAACTCAGATTAAAGTCTAATTTGAGTAACAGAGCTTCAGACAGAGCAGTGTCTACAGTTAGAATCACACCCCCAGAGAATGTTGGTGACATCAGCTGCAAAATATCAATCTATGAAAGTCATATTGCGATGATACTTTTAGAATGGATTGACCGGAGTGTTGCTTTAGCACTGAGTTTTATAAAGACATTTCTTGACTTCCAACAAAGAGGTAGAGAAAGAAACATTGTCCCTGGATTGCTATTGAGAGAGAAATTGACAAAACTTTACCGTGTAAACCAAAAAAAAAAAAAAGTGTTTTGTTGAACATCTTTTATAAAAGTTATAAACTGGACGAGTAACTCTGATATTACTGCTTTGTATTACAACAAGGACACAATAAGTAAAGCAAACTAACAAAACATAACTTCATCATAAAATGAAATGAAAACCCAAAATAATAAAAATGTAAGAGTTTAACTTGTTCACGAATAACAGTAAGTAGGGCTGAACAATGTGAGAAAAATATCAGATTGCGATTTCTCTGACAAGCATTGCAATTAGGTTTGTGAATCGAGTTTACATTTAAACACGCCCAGAAGAACTGACAAAAAGACTGAAATAAGAAGTGATAAACTAACACAAGAAGCATATTTCAGAACATGTTTGTACACATCTAAAATTACAGTTTGCAGTTTTCTGTGCACAATAAGACAGGAGATTTGTGATTGTGATTAATCTGAGCCACAGCATGGACACTGCACAACAATACAGAGGGACAGAGGAGCTCTTTCTCCAACAGGCTCCTACAGCTCCGCTCAAACAGTGAGAAACACAGGACAACATTCATAACATACTCCATACAACTGTACAACAACTCACCCTTATGTAACAGATAACCCTATGTGCTGTCAATCATCTTTGCACTGTTTCTCCTTACCCAACTTGTGTATACAGCTAGGATACATTTGTGTTACTATATTTCTATATTTAATTTTTACTTGTATTATTACATATTATTACCATTTATATTTTTGCTCATTGTTATTATAATATATTGTAATGTGTGAGCTACTGTGTCCAACTAATTTTCCTTGTTAATTTCAACTAAGTCTAACCTTGCAGCCTGAGTGTGTGGGCTTAAGTTTTTCATTCAATATTCATCCAATGCAAAACAGAGTAAAATAGTGGATCTTTCTATACCTTCATACATTTTCCCACTGCTCACCTGCTTCCCTAACAGGTCACTGCTGCTAAATTACACTGTTTATTACGTGGTTGGAGTATGGGCACATGAATATTTATCGCTTTAATTTCTCTTTGTTTTCCATTTGTGAGTTCCTCTTCGGCTCTCGGCGGTTTGCAAATCAAGTTAGAAGTTAGCCAAGGTCTCTGCTCCTTCACACGCGCGCCTTGGCCCCTACATCACAATTACACTGCCCACTGCTTTGTTCCCATACTCTTCCACTGTAATCACCACAAGAGCCATCTACCGACAGCATCAACTTAATCAAGGTTTCCATAGTAACGCATTAACACTGCATACATCTCTACCTGTTCAAACATCTCCTTTCCCTTGCAGAAGACTTACTAAAAGCACGTGTCAGCCTCTGCAGAACCGCGCAACACAACAGCGCCTCTCTCTGGCGGTAAAAAGCAACGGCACGCAGGAGCAGAATTCCCATCACATATTTGCTCTCTCAAGTGACACCTTAGCTTGGACCATCACTGCTTGTCTTATTATTCAAGGGATTTGCATACAATTACACCACACCAGAAGAGAGGGAGACAGAGAGGGAGAAAAAGATGTAAAACCAACTTGTAGGCACGCGGCATAGCTAAAAGACTGTCAATGTATGCGCAGAGACGGCAGCTAGGTCAGATGTGTAAGCGGGGACTTTACACAATATCAGTTTGGATTAGTTATTGTGGGTCTAGCGCTTTGTAATAGAGAAGGGAGTCTCATTTGGTTGTATAGTCAGCACCATCTGGTTCAGTAATGTGCTCTTGTTGATTACTGTTGAGTGCTGAGGCTTTAATAGGGTCATTTTTCGCTGTGTTGTTGAATACAGACAACTAAATAATGCTAGAATAACCTGAGTGAAATGTCAATGAGTGGGTTAGCGTTTTGAGTCACGAAGCAAAAAAAGAAGAAACAAAAAATAAAGACAATTCAACTTTTTTCAGTTTTCGCACTCTAGTTCAAAAGTGCTTTGTGGAACTATTCAGGTGGGGGGTCCGTCATTATTTTCTCCATGGAGATTTGCCTGGAATGGTTCACAGTGTGGTGTTGGTTAAACCTTTCTATCTTCATGGAGACAGAACCAGACCAAGTTACAGGTCAGATCTGTGGAGAGGCGGCCCCGCTCACAGTCAGAATACATGTTTTTCAAGGCATTTTTGAGCAATAAAACCATCTGTAATTAAAAAGGTAGAGCTGTTTCATGTCATACTGTGGAACATTCCAGGCAGAGCAGTCACATACCTATAGAAACAAGCAGGTGACAGATCCCCAGTCAAAAAGTTCAAGTTTTCAAAGTCCGTTTTCTATATATATATATATTTTTTTTCCCCAACAAATCAGTAAACCAGCTACGAAGTGATAGTAAAGCAAGAATTGACACAAGATGCTCCTAGAACCAATACTACAAATTACTTGAATGGGGCAAAATGTTACCTTTTTGAATACTTTTATGTTTTTTTTCTATATCACAACTAGTAGAAATCCACATACATATAGGAAACAATTATCTTCTGTTAAAAATCACAAGTGTTTTTTGAATTGTATGAAAACTAGTACAGAGTGTCAAACATTTTCCTTGGTTTAGTATTATGACAATAGTGTGTTTAGGCCTATCAAGTACGCTTATCCTTTACTTTCTTCCAATGTCATATTTGTTTTCCTCTTTTTAAAAAACAATAGTTTCAAAACAGCATAAACCAGTCTTCGCATGGTGGTTCTCACTTGCTTCATTTTACAATCCACCCATCACATCCCTTCATCTCAAAAGGACGTCTCTAACGTATTTTTCACACAGACACAAAACACTCAGCTGTCTGAGCTTCAAACAATGCAATTAAGAGCCGGCCCCACAGAGGAAAGAGGCAGTTCTGTGGCATATTTAGAAATGAGACCAAAGCTAATGGGAATTTACATGTGATGGAGCT